GTGGGTGGGTGGGCCTTGCCCATAGTGTTTACATGACCCCTCCAACTAACATCCTGAACTACTGTACTACAGCCAATGTTCACTACAGTTGTAAACAACTGTGAAAAAATATACAGGAAAAACCTTGACAAATTTATAGCCCACAACTGCATATGGTGGGAATTGATGAAGCCTTTGCAATACAAATAGTGCCCCAAATCAGTTCTCCACACAGAGAAAGTTTCCAATGATAAGGGACATATATAAGGCATGTTCTTTTAAAAACCTGACTCCCATTAAGCAGCTCATTGTTCATAAAGGGAATGGTGTTTACACAGGAAAAAGGCCAGTTTCAACAAATCTGAGTTCCAACAGATGTTTCCTTCTATCTAAGCAAAACAAGTTTGTGACCTGTTTCTGCCAAATCAGAAAGCTTCAAAATTAATTCTACAGAGAAAAAACAACAACAACAAAAAAAAAAAAAACCCAACAAAACTGTACTTGACAGAATGACCTTGGAAAATAAATTCAGTAAAACTTTTATTTCAAAATTGCAGCTGCTACTACAGTGAATTAACTTGAAAAAATCAGTCTTCTTTAAAGAGAATGCTTTATGATCTGGGTTTGGAGGGATACAACATGATAATTATAATTTTGGTTTGTGTTGGAAAGAGAAAGTAGGGCAGGTTGTTACTCTCACGGCTCTGTCGCAATCACTCTCCTCAAATAAATTTAACCCCTCTTCTTCAGACCTCCCCCAATATCCCTCATAAATGCCTGCTGCTCTTGGCTTCCTCAAATCTCTTAAGAACTCTCTTCCTCTGCACACAGCAGTTAAATAATAGAAGTGGCTGAGCAGAGTAAAAAAGGTATATCTCAATTTTATTTTTAATTATTACTACCAGTACACAGTAATCATACAGCAAGCACTTTGCAGAAGATAAAGAATTTCAGGCTTTGCCAAAGCCTTGATGTCAAGCCTGTGCTGTTACACATCTGACTGTTTCACTTACCACCATGGGGAAGTTTCAGAACTTTCAGGATGTACCCGATGGCATTATACCATTACAGAGCAAAGCTGGATCTGGTGACATTACATTACACAACTGAATGCTGCAAAGGCAGCATCTTCCAGGGAGTTGGGTGCATTTTCTGTACCCAACAATACCTTGCAACAGAAGATGAACTGAAATGCAACTCATGTTGTTAAGAATTTTATCAGTTTTTTACAGCTGTTATAAAATACAGATGCAGAGGTCCAGCAACTAGATACAAGCATCAAAGCCAGAGCTAAAATATTCTTAATCATCAGTATGACAAGTGTAGACAGTGCATGCAACCTTCCATGCCCATCTTTGCTGCTGCAAGCCCCTTCTTCACTAGAGTTCACTCCACTTATTTCTTGTCCTAGTTATGTTGTCAGCATTATACAAATTTCCTACCTCCACAACGTTTTATGCGCAGCACACTCAGCACTGAGGTTCCTTACCCCAGCTGAGGCCTCTGCACATCCTGAGATGAATATAACAAGACAGGGCTATAATCTGGCAGCAATGCAACACACCATTATTACAACTAACATGAATATTAGCAGTTGAAAGAGACCCCACCGAGACACATTTCAAATTTGCCTATCAAACAATTATAGCAAAAGGTAGAGGTGGTTTTCTCCCTCCCTCAGTAATCTTATTTGTCCTTTAAATAGATCTCAAGTATAATCTCAAACTGTCAGCATTTTTATAAAGAAATACCAGCTCAGACCTAATTGGATTTGTCAGACAATCACAGCTAAACAGTTCTGGGAGCTCTAACAGCTGCAGAGCTAGAGAAAAAATCTTTCACATTGGAATGTACAAGAAAATTAAAGTTCATTTCAAGAGGAAAAATTTCCTCTAAAAGTAAGTGATAAAAAGACATAATTTGTTCCACAGTTCCAACCCTGTCCCTTAGCAACATAATGATGTGGTGTGGCATACATAGCTAAGGTTGTGATCTCCTCTATATAGATAATTATCTGCAGTTAACTGCTCAAACACTGTCACTTCAGGCTGCTCTAAATTCACCACAATTGCTAAAGGTTCACCTATGCAAACTTGCTTTTGTTTTAATTTTTTTAACTGCAAATAAGAATACAGGGAAAAAAAAACCCACAGAATTCTGAGAGGAACACATAACAGTAACATTTGAAAAACAGTATATATTACATCCCATACAGACAAAAAACTAGGGGAGTATGTATTTTAGCTGAAAAGCACAAATACCTCCTATTCCTCTGGACTTTTTGATATTTTTCCTCACAAATATACATATGTACAGATGAAACTTCCTCTGCCCTTGCTGTGTGTATCATCAGCTTCTTGTTCTGTACATGCTTCTGTGGGCTGAAATAGTGCATTCTAAAGACAGCCTAGGATATAATGGCCTAAAACCCACACAAACCTCATCCTCTGAAAGGTAAGACAGAATACATTACAATGGCGTAGAGGTTACAGGTTAAGGAAGTATAATAGGCCAAATTTTACACTTTCAGTGCCTTCAGATGGTGATTTCTTTAATGAAGACAGATTATTCCATACACGTCTGGATCCAGAATTGAAGTGATGTCCATTTCACTGATTTTAAAATAATAGTCACACAGGTTTTTAACATTTATATTTAGGAGAATATCAACTTGAGCACTCAACAACATTATTTTCTGTATTTGCACAGTTGGTAACCAGCACACCTGTGACTGGGGAACGTAAGTAAACTTTGCATTGAATTCTGAATGTTTTGATCTGAGGCAAAAGCAATCTGACATAATGTAACAAGTCTTACACTGTCAACATCAACACTCAGGAGTTATACACTCTCCTACCTGTTGGCTTATCTACACCAAAGAATCCAGCTTGTCCCAGGGTTTTAAATACTTTATGTGCTGGGAACTGTCCTTCTTCTTCCCACTTGTCCACAAAGGGATTAATCTCCTTGTCAATGATCTAGATTTGAAAAAGAAATTTTCAAAGTTATTAACACAAAAATTCCTACAGAAACACCTTTGACTACATTTGTCTAAAAACTTTAATTTAAAAAGAAAAAACATAAAAATTTTGAAATTAAATTATTTTTCTTACTTGCTGTTGGATGTCCTTATTCTCCACCCACCCACAACAGATGCAATAAGGCAAATGTAAATAATTCTTCTAGTAATTACAACTACAACAGGAAGTCGTCACAGCTGGTTTAAGTATCTCCAAGACCTATGAAACTGGCAGTTCACCCTCACCATTTGTTGTCTTTCTGGGTACAGTTTCTAGGAAGTAACAGGAAGGGAAACCCAGCTTGTGCCCAGGGGGACCTTGCCAAAGAAGGTTGATGATCTGTTCACAGTGACCACACACAGTACACAAGACAGTCAAGCAGGAGACACCTCATTTCCCCTCCCTTTGCCTAAAATGCTCTCAAAGACATCAGTGCTGTTCAGGGCACTTGTGTCCAGTCTGCATTTAGACTTCCCTAGCATCTAACAAAACATGTACTGGAAAAATATGGTCTTCTTCCAGACTTAAAGCATTTCCAAGTCTAGGCCCTGGGCAACTCCCAAGTAGGCTATTGCTTTACACCTTCCAAAAGTCAACGTCCTAAGCTGCCTGGCTCCTGCTCTTGCTCTGTTCAGGTTGCTGTCTTTCCTTCCAGGTGTTGCAAGCAAAACACATCTGGAGTACAGCAACTACATTCAGTAACACTTTCAGGTTTCAGAGCACAGATTTCCATCACCATGGGAAGGGAGCAAAACAGGCAATCTGCAGTTTTGCAGCCAACCTCTAAGTCTGGGAGTAACTCTCCAACAGACCAGGCTCCATGCCAGACAGCCCCACACTGCAGGGTGCATGGGGCATTCATGATTTTGCCGCCTCATTCTTGCTGCCTACCAATCTGGCACAAGGCAAACACGGTTTTAATAGCTCTCAAAAGGAGTCAGTTGTATAGTGCTCACCTCTGCCTACCTCCACAGGCCAAACCAGGGGTTGGCACAGGCTGTGGTGCCAAGTGCACCGTGCACCTGGGTCAACAGGCAAAAGGGGGTCCAAAGGTGAAAAAGTCACCATCCTTCCCTCAAACCAAACCTTACCAAACCAAACACCAATTCCCAATAGAAGGCTAGTGCCTTTAATCTATTACCACAATTTTAGTGCTACACTGTTTCACAGAAAGACAATTTCTCCACACTAAATAAACAAGTCTCATGGTGCTATTTCTTAAGCTGGAAATAGACTCCTCTCACTCTGCAACTGCTGTGCTCATGAGACCCTGTGGAGCCTTCTTCCGAACTATCTATTTATTGCACATTCTTTGGAGAATTTCAGCCCATATATGGCTGCTTTCTGCTTCCCAGTCAGCCACAGAAATAAGGATACTCCTCTGTCAGTAACAGAAAAATCACTTTTTCACTTCTTTCACCAAATGCTGAGAAATGTATATATTGAATGTTCAACTCATGGGTAATTATCATCTCTCTCCCTCTCTTATACTGAACAACACGGGCCTCATGACCAATAGTAACAAAATATTCACCAGGATGCTATCTAGCAGAGCCCACATTTAACTTCTCTCTTGCCATATCCTAGACGCTCAGATTCTAGGGTGCTGATACTCAATGTTCAGTTACAGGGAGTGAAAAACCTTTTTGATCGTTTGTAATAACATCTGGTATTGCTCATCAGATAACCTCTTTCAGGCATTTCCCTGGATGTTATGAAGTACATACAGAAAGTTATCCCAGTGTTTTGATGGATCTTCACAAAAGCATGAAGTGAATGTACTAACAGAGTTTTGTGCTTGTTATGGCTGGTACTGGGCCAAGTGTTTTGCAGCCTACACACAAAGCTACCTTTGAACTTAAACAGAGTCAGAAAAAAGACTAAGGCATGAGAGAAGTTATTTTACATGATTTATGCAGATTATAACCTGCTTGCTCCTATGCCTTTGAGGAACACTCAAATTGTTTAACAGAGCTGGTTTAATTATTGCTAGGTGAAGTTTGCCATGCTGAGTAAAACAAGACCTCCCTTGCACAACACAACAAAAAAAACAAAGACAATCTTACTGCACAAACCACAAACAGTGCATGTCTCTAAGTTCAAGAAAAATTAGTATCACAATCCAGATAATGATATCAACAGCTTTTTCTTAGCCATTGGACCATCCACTTTAAACTGCATTTTTGAAAAAAAAAAAAAAAAAGGTCCTATCAAAAGCTTCTCCCCTTTAGAAACAAATTGTTTGCAAAAATCATGCATGATATTTACAATCATAAAGGGATTTGGGGGAACATTTCCCCTTGTACTACCACATACAAACATAAGCCACACTGCTGGAGAACTGCAGCTCTGGTCAACTGGCTGATGCCTCAGTACTGATTACTGGATATTATCAACCCGTCATATTAAAAGCAAACTGAAGCAGAAATAGATATTTTCAAAGGGTCGAGCCATCAACAACTGAAGGAACACATGCAGTTATGCAATATGTGCTTAAAACATTGCTAAAAAGAGCTTTATTTTAGCTCAGGTCAAATAATGCTGCATACCTAACCATTTGATTTGCCCCTTCCTTTGGCTTTTGTGACTTGCTCACATCTGTGCCTCCAGAGAAATATTTCGTACTTGAATTAATTTAAATCTTGACTAATTAACTTTGAATTTATTTATATTTTTTGAATGCACTCAGCTTTTAGAAGCAAACACTAAGAGCTGCAGACATCTCAACCTAAATCATACAGTATACATGCACTGTTTGGCAAATATATAGAAGTGAGCTTTCAGCAGTATGTGAGCAGCTGGTCTGTTTATTTTTATATGTTTTATCATGAGTGATAGTATTTAGACTTGCATCACTAGGATACTGACTATAACAAGACCTAAAACTCCTCTCAGCAGAAATACTTTAACACTGCATACTACAAATGTTATCTGACAGATATTTTCAGCCACAAAGGAAACTTTTCACCTGACCCAGCTGGCCAAATCTCAATGGCACTTGTGATGTAAAGTTGATTTAGGAGCCATATACCTTTCCCACTTGCTGATAATGTACCAGCAAACCACAACAGAAACTCCCTTATTTTCCTGAGAGAGAAGGCACAGTAGCCTCATGTATGGGACCAGTGTTTTTCTTGGGCTGCTTCATCTGAACCACAAAGATGCAAAGCTAAAGGACTCAGCTCTGGAGGCAGCCTTGGTTTAGCCCGCATCCCACCAAGAGCTCGGGCTGCTCTCCAGGGAACCTCTGAGAGAATGGCTTCAGGGCTGAGATCAGCTGTGAACTATTTCAAAAAACACTGTGGATATTTGCCCAGTTGGCAACAAACTCACTTTGTGTTGAATGATGGTAAGAAAAATAAAAGTGTTTTCATTTAAAATAGTCTTGACAAAGTTTTGTGAAAACAGCACCTGTAGTTTCCTGCCCAGGAACAGGGAAATGCAGTAGCAGGGTTGGGGAGGGGATAGAGATGGAAATTCAGAGGGGGGTTTTGTTATAGATTATTCTAATTTCTCTCTAAAACAGAGCAATGAATATATCTCCCCAAAACACTGCCTACTATATTTTGATTACATTTTGATTATTTTCCACTAGAAGTTAGTACACTACTTAAATGAGCAAACAAACAAAGCCACACATTTGAGGATTTTTCTTCCCAGGATGCTCAGTATTTTGTGCTGATATCGTACCAGCACCTACCCAGAAACGTTAGCAATGGCCATTTAATTCTCACTGGGTTCTGAAATAAATACACTGTTTCTACAACAGTAGAAACTGTAACTGAATTAATTTGGGTACGGAGTGTTTACAGATGTCCTTTATGGTAATTAAAGATTTCTTTCCATTATTCACCACTAAGTTTACCTCTATCAAGCAATTCAAAACAGAAATCAAGGCCATACACCACTTCTACACACAATACCTTTTATATCTATCCCTTATAATACTGTACAGTGGTAGTGTATTTCAGCACAGAATTAGCAAGATGATGAATCTTAAAAACAATGAACTGAATTCTTACAAAATGACAGAAATTTTTACCAATGCTTCCTGTAAATTACATCTAAACTGAGATTAGATTTAGTAGAAAATCTAGGGAAAACATCTGAGAAAAAAGGTATTTTGTATTAAGAAGATTAAATGGATTTAGTGGTGCCTAACTGTATCATATTATGTTATGAGGAGCGTTTTTTCCTTTAAATCAAGTTACAGTAATTGAACGTAGCTCTATTAATATAATAACCAAAGATGACACAATTAATGGAATCTTGAATGTAACAAAAAAGCAAATAAGTAAGCAACAAATCACTAATAATAGTTCTTCAGTGGTTGTATCTAGACATTAGCATAACACTGACTTGAAAGGAAGGAGGTAACAGACCAGAGAGCCCTTTGCCTTTGACATCAGCAATCACTAAGGAAAACAATTAACAGCCCACAAAACAACATTTCTCCTTGTAGTTTTATTCACAGCCACTGGCAGCAATAACTGCACTGGGAGACAACTCGACATCATAGGGACACCAGTGCTGAGGACAAGGCAGCATTTTAGCAAGACCTGTCAGAGCTGAGGGGGTCAAACCCATGGACCAGCATGGGTGATAGCAAACCTGCCCACCAAAACCCACCTCATGGGTGAAAGGCAGCCAGGACCTCACCAGCGAGCTCCTTGCCAGCTGCTGTGCTGCAGCCTGTGCAGGTCCTCTCCACTGCTCCCCAGGGGGGCTGTATAAGTCCAAACAGCTGCTGTTCAATTTCCCACACGTTGGTCTCCATTTGGGTCCCCCCAAGGCATGCAGCCCAAGCACACCAGAATTAGCTTTCCAGCATATATTCCCTGTTTCTTCTCATGCCTGGGCTTGGAGGCCACGGCCTTCCTTGACTCCCTCACAACTCCTCCAAAGAGCTAAAGAAAGTTTGGTGGCCAATCCTTTCCCAGTAATACTCTTCAGAAAAGTAGGGAAAGGGTGCAGAGGAGGACACTGGGATGTGGAAACACATTCAGCAGGGTACCACAGCACCTCACTGATGAGAACCATCTACCAGCAAGTGGTGGACAAAGCAGGGTCCTGCTGTCCCTCCTGCACTTGTGAGGTCTCTCCAGTGCTGGCAGGATGGCAGTTGCTCCTGTGATTCCAGTCCCCATGACACATGACCCTAGCAGAAGCCCAGAGCTGACCGAGTGCCTGGACCACCCAGCCTGGTGGGTGGTGACAAGCCTGGACCTGCAGAGCCAGCAGAAGAGGTAATCAGTCATTCAGTCTCCAGTGACATCATGTGCAGAAGCAGAGGCAGTATGTGACTTAGAAGACCACAACAGGTTATAACAGCTTACAAATAACCCCATTGCACAAAGCTGATTTAATCACACAGCAGGCAGAAAACGTTCCCTGCAGTGCTAACCTTGCCTGCTCATACGAAGTTATTTAGTGCACTTTCTTCTGGCAACCAAAATCCAGTATTACCAGCTTGCCTGAGGTCTGAAGTGATCCAGAGAGCAAAGCTGCAACCTACCGCTTCCTCTTTCAGGATGCATCACTAACACAGGGTGAAGGTTTACACAAGTTTTGCAGGATCATTATCTGGGGATTGGGGTGTTTGGTTGGTTGGGTTTTGTTGTTGTTGTTTGGTTGGGCTTTTTCCCTTAATACAAATTGAAACAAGAGGGATAGTCTTTACTCCTTCTCTTATAAAAACATACAGACTCTTATTGGTTAGGACTCACCTAGAAGTTCTGTGTAATAAATGACTCACCACTATGCAAGGGGTCCTGTCAAGGTAGCGAATGTCCTAGATGCTGCCAAAACACTTCTCCCCTTTGCATGAGGAAGACAAGTCTCACTCTTGCCCACATCATGGACGATTTGGCATTTGGATACAATCTGGGCATCTTATTCTGTATTCGCACTTGAATCGCCAAAGATATGACACGACACCTGGGCAAATGACTGTCTACAAGAGTTGTCACTGAAGAATTTGCCTTATTTGAGTATGGGATTTGGGACCGGGCCTCAGTGATGATATGGAAACTTCTGTACTCTGAGCTGTCATCAGATTGTTGCTGGGAACAAGCCAAGAAAATGTTTTCCACATTAATACAGGACTGAACTAAAAAAGTTCAATTTAAGTGTAGACATCCATTTCATGACCCTGTGAAAAACACTTGG